AAAAACCATTTTTTCTTTCAAATTTGTTTTAGCAACAGCAGCTTCTTTTAAACACCTCTTTATCAGCTTTGGATGTCCCCATTATTTACATCACCTTGAAGTTATAATTTACAGCAGGAACATTCTATCGATGTAAAAAAAGTAAATGAAAATAGTATAAAATATTGAAAACTTCCCTATTTATTTCTCCAGATATATATATACATATACAAATAAATTAATGAACAAATACATAAACATCTCTATATACTTATATGTGTGTGTACATACGCTTTATAAATAAATTGGCTGTGTATTATATATTTTCAGCAACATGCTATGTTTTTGTTTTTTGCCTATCATGAATATATTTTCACTTAAATACAGAGAACTACTTCATTTTTTTGTTTTTTTATTCTTAAAAAAAATTTTTTTATTGATTTCAGAGAGGAAGGGAGAGGAAGAGATAGAAACATCAATGATGAGAGAGAATCATTGATCACTGCCTCCTGCACAACCCACACTGGGGATTGAACCTGCAACCCAGGCATGTGCCTTGACCAGGAATTGAACCCTGACCCCCTGATTTATAGTTTGATGCTCAACCACTGAGGCACACCAGCTGGGCTTCCTCATTTTTTTTTTCCAAATGGCTTCAAAATATCTCATCATGTGTGGAACTTCTTTTCGGGTAAATAAAATTGTTCTAAAACTAGATTGTGTTAATGGTTATGAAAAAACACTGAACTATATACTTTAAATTTTATGGCATGTGAATTAAATCTCAAAAAAGCTTTTTATCAAAAAGCACAGATGTCAAAAAATGTCCCATTGTAAGGTCTCCCATAATTCAAATTACTAGTTCCTAATTGATGGGCACTTTGCAGTTTTTCATGATTATAAGCAAAGCTGCATGGATGGCTTATGCCTATCTTTGCACCTCTGTCGATATAGAGCAGTGGTTCTCAACCTGTGGGTCGTGACCCCTTTGGCGGTCAAATGACCCTTTCACAGGGGTCGTCTAAGACCATCCTGCATATCAGATATTTACATTACGATTCATAACAGTAGCAACATGACAGTTATGAAGTAGCAACGAAAATAATTTTATGGTTGGGTCACAACATAAGGAACTGTATTTAAAGGGCCAGAAGGTTGAGAACCACTGCTGTAGAAGGAAGATTCTAGGTCTACACAAGCCAGCTCTGGATATGAATGCAGGAATTTGGGTGTTCACTGGTGTGGTAGAAGCCACTTAAAATTTCTTCCAAGAATATAAAGGTTGTAATGTGCTAAAGTACATTTTCTGTTGCAGATGGACCCGTGTTCCCCTCAGTGACCATGGATAGGGGAGGAAAGAAAGATGGTTTAGTCTTCTAAAGACAAGGAGTGGTGATGGAATATATTAAATTTTTTTTGATCCATGCATTAAGATATATATCTTAATGCATGGATCAAAAAAAATTTAATATATATATACTGGTTGTTAAATATTTTAATACCTCTGGCCCTAGCTGGTTTGGTTTGCCATGGTCGGCAAACTGCGGCTTGCGAGCCACATGCGGCATTTTGGCCCCTTGAGTGTGGCTCTTCCACAAAATACCACGTCGGGCGCACA